TTGAAGAATAATCTTCAATATTGAAGAATATTCTTCAATATTGAATATTATTCTTCAATATTCAATTTAAGATTCAATATTGAAGAATATTCTTCAATATTATTCTTCAATATTGAAGAATATATTGAAGAATATTCTTCAATATTCTTCAATATTCTTCAAGATTATTCTTCAATATTGAAGAATATTCTTCAATATTGAAGAATAATATTCAATATTGATATTCTTCAATATTGAAGAATAATATTCAATATTATTCTTCAATATTGAATATTATTCTTCAATATTGAAGAATAATCTTCAATATTGAATAATATTCTTCAATATTGAAGAATATATTGAATATTGAAGAATTTCTTCAATATTGAAGAATATTCTTCTTCAATATTGAAGATTATTCTTCAATATTGAATATTATTCTTCAATATTGAAGAATATTCTTCAATATTGAAGAATATTCTTCAATATTAAGAATATTCTTCAATATTGAAGAATAATATTGAATAAGATATTCTTCAATATTGAAGAATAATATTGAAGATTATTCTTCAATATTGAAGAATATTCTATTATCAATATTGAAGAATATTCTTCAATATTGAATAATATTGATATCTTCAATATTGAAGATTATTCTTCAATATTTGAAGAATATTCTATCAATATTGAAGAATAATATTCAATATTATTCTTCAATATTGAAGAATATATAATCTTCAATATTCAATATTATTCTTCAATATTGATTCTTAATATTAATATTGAATATTATTCTTCAATATTGAAGAATATTCTTCAATATTGAATATTATTCTTCAATATTGAAGAATAATATTGAAGATTAATCTTCAATATTGAAGAATATTATTCAATATTGAAGAATCTTCAATATTGAATTTATTCTTCAATATTGAAGAATATTATTCAATATTATTCTTCAATATTATTCTTCAATATTAAGAAAATATTCTTCAATATTGAAGAATATATCTTCAATATTATTCTTCAATATTGAA